TATATATATATATATATAAGCCTATGTATCTAAGGGGATGCTCCCCATAGTGGGAGCTAATCAGAGAAAAAGAAGGGGGCATTAAGGGGTGTTGGTTCTTTTGTTAATTTATTGTATTTTTATGGCTATAAAAAGGAAATAAAAAAGCAAAATAAAATATATATAAATAAATAAAATAGATTAAACTTTCTTAAGAAGAAAAAGGTACATGGGGGCCCCTCGCCACCGCGGTCGATGATGTATCGATGCGCCTCAGGGGGCCCCCGTTTTCCTTGTATAATTTCATGACATTTTTCCTTACTTATTTGTTTATTTTTAATTTAAAAAGATTTAAATCAATAAAAATAAATATATTTTTATTTTATTTTATATTATTAGCCTTTGTTTCATCCTTTTAGGGCCCCTGGTCAGCTGTTCCTCTCCTCGCCTCGCTATATAATGGTTAATACAACGGTCCGTCGCCTGCTACTGCTGCTGCTGCTGCTGTTGTTGCTGTTGCTACGGATTGATGCTCTTTGCTTCTTTTTTCTTTGCTTTGTTTCTTTTTTAGGAGATTTTAATGAAGAAATATTATGTTTATCTCCTTTCTTCCCCTTATTTTAGTCTTTTCTCCCCCCTATAAAGAGCCTCTCTCCCGTAGAGCCGCTACCGCAGCAGCAACAACAGCAGCAGCAGCAGCAACCGGTGGACTCCGATCTCTCTCTGCACGCAAGCCTTAAACCCTAGTAAACCTTAAACCCTAAACCCTAATAAACCCTAGTAAACCCTAACAGCTAGAGACTGCTTAGTATATCCCCTTCTAAGGAAGCATCAGTCTACCTTTATTACGAGAAGTTTCGTGCTGCTCTCCAGCAGCAGCAGCAGCAGCAGCAACAGCACGACTGTAAATCCTAAATAACGATTTGTTGCTCTTTTTTCATTGCTTCTTCTTTCTTAATATTTATTCCTTAATCCTTTCGCCATTTGCCTTCTGTTTAATTAGCTAACCACGTACCCGCATATAAAACTGTCCGCAAACCCTAAACCCTAAACCCTAAATCATAAACCCTAAGCCCTAAACTATGCTACACACCGATGTGTATATATTGGTGTGTATTAATGTTATGTATTTAGTGTTTTTGTGTGTGTATATAAATGTGTGTATAGGTGCCATTAGGGTTTAGGGCCTAGGGTTTATGGTTTAGGGTCTAGGGTTTAGGGTTTAGGGTTTAGGGTTTGAGGATGAAGGACACTGCTGCTGCCTCTTTAAACTCTCCCCGCCTTAGGCGGCTCCCTTCTGGTCATTATAGACGTATTGCTGCAGGGGACGAGCTGCCCCTGATGCAGCTGCTGCTGTGCAGCTGCATGCAAGCAGCACCAGAGTACGAGCTCCTATACGAGAGCCCACGGGGCCCCACATCTTACCGCAGCAGCAGCAGCAGCAGCAGCAAGCGCCCTGCCCGCAGCAGCAGTCATAAGCTGCGGCAACAAAAGTCACACAAAGAGCAGCAGCAGCAGCCACAGCATCAAGAAACGCTGCAGCACAAATTGTCCAGCAAGCAGGAGCAGCACGAGCAGCAGGAGCACCAGCAGCACCAGCACAAAAGCATTACCTGGGCAGACGCCGGAGGCCCCTCTGAGCACAGCGCAGACACATCTGCGGATACAGCGCAGCAGAGTGTGCTGCAGGACCAAAGCAGCAGCAGCAGCAACGGCAGCAGCGGCAGCGCCAGCCGCAGCAGCAGAAGCAGCAGCATACTTGCTGCTGTTGCTGATGCTGCACCTCCACCAGAGGAGCCTTCAATAACTCCGTCAGAAACAACGCCAAGGGTAGCTCCTGCAGCAGCAGCACCAGCAGCGCCACCAGCAGCAGCACCAGCAGCAGCACCAGCAGCAAGCAAGCAGCAAGAAGTGCCCCGTGCTGTGTCCCTTAAGAAAAAGGAGACAGGTGGATTAGGGAGACAAACAAACAGCAGCATAAGAAGTGCAGACAGCAGCATAAAGAAAGATGCAGCAAAGAGAATCAGCAGCAGCAGCAGCAGCACGTACTACATAAAGAAGCGCAGCAGCAAACCTGTAGCGCCTGTTGCAGCAGCACCGATGCAGAAAACCCTTAGTAAAGAGCAGCAGCAGCAAGCTGCTGTTGCTGCTGCTACACAACAACTGCAGCAAAGGCAGCAATCCGTGCAGCGGCTAAGATCTAAGATTGCTCATCAGCAGCAAAAAGCTGCTGCTGCTGCTGCTGCTGCTGAAGGACCAGATCATTCTCTTGCTGAAAAAATCGAAGTCGATATTGCTGTATTCACGTAGGCCCCTGCTGCTGCTGCTGCTGCTGCACCTGCTGCTGCTGCTGCTGCACCTGCTGCTGCTGCTGCTGCTGCTATAGTGCCTGCTACTGCGAATGCTGTTCGCTCCTACTGCTGTTGCTATGCCTCCTGCTGCTGAACGTGCCCCAGTTTTGCAGCGCGCTGTCTCGCTTGCTGCAGAATCCCGTGCTGATGCTACTGCTGCTGCTGCTGTCTTGAGCGTTGCTGTTGCTGTACGGACAGCGTATTTTGCACTGGAAAGAAGTAAAGGGGCTTCTGTGACGCAGTATGCACACTCCTCTCGTCTTAGGGTTTAGGGTTTAGGGTTTGCATGCGTTCTTATGCGCTGCAGAGGGCAAGTAGAACTAGAAGGAGACAAAGCGCAAATGTTTTTGCTTTGCGGATTCCTCAATGACAGTCTTGGAGACGTAAGGGTTTAGGGTTTAGGGTTTAGCGAATGCAGGAATACTTGACGCAGCTTCAGTGACACGTATTGAGCACCGAGGGAAGAATGTGGAGCACTTAGGGTTTAGGGTTTAGTGTTTAAGATTTAGGGTTTAGGGTTTAGGGTTTAGGGTTTGTGAATTGTGCAGCTATTGAATCATACTCGTAATCGTACCGAGCCTGTTTCCTTTCATCCAACAGATGAAGAACTTCAACTTCATGTTACTCATAGGGTTCGTAAACCCTAAACCCTAAACCCTAAACCCTAAACACTAAACCCTAAACCCTTGTTTGCTCGTCTGTCTGTCTTCATTATCTCTTATTCGTTTATTTCTCTCTTTCTTCTGTGTTTCTCTGTATGTTCTCCGTGGGTTTTGCTGCTGTGTGTTGCTGTTGCTGCTGCTTTTGCTGCGCCTGTTGCTGTTGCCGTTGCTGCTTCAATGCGTTGCTGTTGCTGCTGCTGCTTCTTGCTGCTGCTGCTACAATTCATTGCATTTTTTCTTCCTTGTCTTGCTGTTACTCCATCCTATTGACCCTATCCTCTGCTCCACCTGCTGCTGTTGTTGCTGCTGTTGCTGTTGCTGTTGATGCTGGTGCTGCTGCAGTTTGTATTACCATTAGATCAAGAAGCAGCAGCAATAAGATTAACATTAATAATAACACAAGAGGTAGAGGAGACAATAAAAAATACAAGAAAAAGGACATGGAAATTAAGAGACTTTGGTTGTATTATTATTCCTCTTGTTAATCTTAAACAACCTAATGTAAGGATATTCACGTTTTTTTTTATTTACTATTATTATTTATTTATATTTATTGTATATTATTATTATTAATATTATCTATTATTATATATTACTGTTATTATTATTACTATTATTAGTAGTAGTAGTAGTAGTAGTATTTTTACTTAATATGTATACATGCATTGTATTATTATTATTATTATTATGTAATAATTGTTATAATAGATAATACATAAGAAAAAAATAAATAAATAATTCAGCAAATAAATAAAATAATAATAATAATCTTTTTTTGTATATATTTATTTATGTTGTTGTTACAGACGATTGATTGGTCATCTTATCCTGTCTCTGTCTCTGCTGCATTTTCTGGGCGTGGTACGTACAGCTGCTGCTGTTGCTGCTACTGCTGCTGCTGTTGCTGCTGCTGTTGCTGTTGCTGCTACTGCTACTTTTCTTGCTGTTGCTGCTGTTGTTGTTGTTGCACCACCTGGACACCATGGAATCTGCTGCCTTTTCTTATTTGGTGCTTCCTTGCTGTCGGCTGGCTAGCTGGGCAGCTAAGAACTCTCTAGCTAGCTAGCCGACTGGCTAGCCAGCCAGTCGCAAGCTAGCTAGACACGAGCTGGTCCTTGTGTCTTGTCTCCCCAATAGTTAGATAGCTAGTTAGCCGTTGCCAGCTAGCTAGGTAACCGGCTAGCTATCCAGCTATTCCAGCTAGCTAGCTAGTTATCTAGCTAGATATAAGCTAGCGCGGTAGTGAGTGTCTTGGTCTCCTTAGGTACTGGTAGTCTTCGTTGTAAGTTAACTTCTTACCTACAGAATGATGGACCTCCTATCCCTCAAGACACCATTGAACCGTAAGGCATCCTAAACCCTAAACCCTAAACCCTAAACCCTAAACACCAAGCACTAAACGCTAAACGCTAAACCCTAAATTTCAGCAGCGGTCTCTTGTGCTGCACATCTTGCATGCATAATTGATAGAGATTGCTGTTGTCTATCTGCCGGGTGCATTTCATTGCCTTTTAGCTTTTTATCCTCAGCAATAATAATAATAATAATAAATGTTATATAATAATAATAAATAAAAATAATAAAAGATTTGTCTTTTTATTGTTTTCTTTGCAGCTTCCAACCCCCGCAAGGAATAACAAAAATTCGCAATATTAGAGAAGAAGGGCAGCATGCAGCAGCAGCACCTTCTCCTGTACGCATGCGCAGACTGAGCAGCAGCAGCAGCAGCAACAGCAGCAGCAGCAGCAAAGGGTGTGGGGTTGTATATGCAACAAAGAATGGGGATGTAATAGATGGCAGAGATCTCCTTAGAAGTTCTTCTTCCTTAGATTGCTCCCTGCAGCCATCGGGGGCCCTTACACACACCTGGCAGCTGCAGCACAGGCAGGCCTCCTTGCTGCTAAAGCAGCTGCAGCGGCAGCAGCACAAGCAGCAGCAGAAGCAGCAGCAGGAGAAAAAATTCGGTGTACACGCGGAAGAGGAGACAGTAAAAGGGTCATTTACCAGCAGCGGCCGCAGTACCCCACAGTCGCTGCTGCGTAGCTTATCTCCTCGCGTGCAGCGACTGCAGCAGCAGCAGGCCTTTTCTCATGACACACACAACGACACAGAAGGAATTCCCACTTATGCAATGAATCGGCGGGCAGTTGTTGAGGCCCCCACATGCAATGCTTCTCTTCCTTGGGCATGCTGCAGCAGCACTACCAATAGAGGCAGCAGCAGCAGCAGCAGCAGAAGCTTCAAAAAACAGCCAACCCAATGCTCCCTCTCAAGCGTGTACCAGGAAGAAGGGAGCCTCTGCAGCAGCCGCAGCATAGATGACACTTATAGCACCATCAGCAGCAGCAGCAGAAGCAGCAAGAGCAACAGCAGCAGCAGCTATGCACCTCCTCCCAAAGCAATTAGCCCTCCCCTTAAAAAGGCAGCTCAGCTACGCCGACCGCACCAATCGCAGCTGCAGCAGGAAAAGCAGCAACAACAGCAGCAGCAACTGCAGCAACAACAGCAGAAGCTGGTATTGCTGCAGGCCTCTCGGAAACAGCAGCAACGGAGGCCGGTGGTGCTGCACGCGAAGCAACAGCAGGAGCAGGAGCAAGAACAACAACTGCTACAGCAACAGCCGCCGCAGCAGCAGCAGCCGCAGCAGCAACAGCAGCAGCCTATCTCTGCTGAACTGCGGGATTTATCTCTAGGGATGAAGAGCCTCTTAGAAGAAATTCGGTTCAATACCCGCAGACTGCAGCAGCGGCAGAAGCAGGAGGAGGACGAGCAGCAGGAGAAGCAGCAGCAGAAGCACCACCAGCGGGTACTACCTGCAGTTCCCAAGGCAAGGAGACTGAGTGCAGCAGAACTGCAGAAGGAGCAGCAGCAACTACAGCACGACCAGCAAAGCTGCTTGGCTATTCGCCATGGATTCACGAGGCCTTCATTGGCTGGCAGGTGTTGAGTGTCTCACGCTCCCCTGTGTCTTTGCTGCTGCTGCTGTTGCTTCTTGTCTTGTCTTCTATAAGAGACAGGACGTGTACATCTTGTCTTTTGTTGTACATACACTGCAGCAGCACAGATGTTTGCTGCTGCTGACTCTTAGTATAGCGTAACACACCGCAAACAGCAAATGCTGCTGCAGCAGCAGCAGCAGAGATAGAAACAGCAGCAGCAGCAGTGACAACCGCACCCACAGCGACTACAACAGCAGAAATGATATGCAGAAGCAGCAGCAGCAGCAGCTTCGCAACAGCGTGCAGCGCAGCTGCTGTCTACAGCATCAGCAGCTGCAGCAGCGGCGAAGAAGCCTGCAGCGCTGCTGCTGCATGCATCAGGAAACCTCTCTTAGTGTTTGCCTTTTCCTTAAGGGAGGATCAATGGTGTTAAAATATGATAAAATAAATAATGCCTTGCAATAATATTATTGCTAGGTGCAGCTAGCTGTAGCTAGCTGCACCTAGCTAACTTCGCCACCTCTACGTACAGCTCGGAATAGGGCTAGCTGGTGCTACTGCTGCATCTAGCCATCTGCAGCAGCTGCTTCTGCATTTAGTTCCAGCGCTAGCTTCTGCTGCTACTGCTGCACCTAGCCACACTCGGTAATAAATAACGCAAAAAAGGACGAAACTTGCAAAACAACAGCTGCTGCTGTGCTTCACCAGCAGCACCAGCAGAAGCGGCATCAAGGGCCACGCCGTCCCCTGTCTGTTTTGCTGCTGTGGAGTTTGTCGCTGCCGCTGCTGTTGCACCAGGTGAAGCTGCGCCGCTGCAGCTGGAGTATATAGCTACAGCTAGCCACCCTGGGCTGTGTGCGCTGCATGCAAACGGTAGCAGCAGCAAGCGACCTCCTTCTCACACATCTTTAAACCCTTATAGCCAGCGTTTTGGGGCTTCTGTGGTGTCAATAGACCCCAAACGCAAGCAAGCAGCAGCACATCTAGCGGTGTGTGCACTGGTGGCTTCGTGCTGCTCTCACTGCTGCTCTTGCTGCTGCTACAAAAGTAGCTTCTGCGCCAGCTACAATAAAGACAGAACAGCAGCACTCTACTAAAATGCTATTTAATTCAATTACAATGCATTTAATTCATTTAATATATAATTTTTCCGCAGCATTTTACTTTTATAAACACAAGGAGAAGAGTACTTGCAGGAGCAGCAGCAAACGGCCGCTGCTGCAGCCCCGTGAGAGGCGGAGGCGGCGGTGGTTTACGGTGTATAGGCAGCTGATGTTGTATTTACTCGCCGTTTATTTTAATTATTTTGCATGCGTTTGTATTCCATAAATACCCCTAGAGACCTACCGAACACAAGGAAAGGTCTATAAGTGGGGCGGCTACCGCAGGTGTTGCTGTTGCTGCTGCAGAAGGAACAGCAACAACAGCAACAGCAACAGCATCAGAAACGCAGCAGCAGCAGCGACGGCTCCAAATCCTTTGGGGTCTACAGCTGCCTGTATACACCTCCTAACCCGGCTCATGAGGGATCCTAGTAGAAGGGCCAACAGGCAGCGTGCTGCTGCTACAGCTCCTGCTGCTGCTGCTGCAGCTGCGGCTGCAACGCACGGAGCTCAACAGGAGTAGCAGGTCTTCGCGACTGATGGAACGGCACAATGCAGCAAGAGCAGCTGCAGCAACAGCAGCTGCAGAAGCAGCTGCTGCAACAGCAGCAACTGCAGCAGCAGCAGCTGCAACCACAGCAGCTCCAACACCTACAGCAGCAGCAGCTACGCCCTCAGGAGCTGCAGCAGCAACCCATGCACATGCTACCCCTGAAGACTGATGCTGGGCCTTCGGCAGCAATGGTGCACGCTCCTCAGCTGCAGCGCATGCAGACACCGCAGCAGCAGCAATTGCCGCAGCAGCAGCAATTGCCGCAGCAGCACCTGCAGCAGCAGCCCCCGCTACAGCAGCTGCCGTCGCAAAAGCCTCAGCCTCAGCAGCTGCAAGCGCAACAACTGCAGCCGCAGCAGCTACAACAGCAGCAACTGCAGCAGCAACTGCAGCAACAACAACTGCAACAACAGCAACTGCAACAACAGCAGCTGCAGCAACAGCTTCAGCAGCAGCAGCAAGCTCGTGGTGGCGTACAGAGGAATGTAGAGCCAAGGCACGTGTTGATGCTGCTGCAGCGTATGGCTGAGGCAGACCCAGCTCGCTTCAGGGTGACCACCAAACTTGCTGCTGTTGCTGCTGCTGTTTAGCCTTTGCTGCTTGTAAAAATCAATGGCAAGGGCTCCTTACTTCCCTGCTGCCTGCAGGCATCCGCCTCAGCTTTAGGGTTTATTGTTTTGTGGGGTTGGGGATGAGGGTTTAGGGTTTAGAGGTTTTATTATGTAGGGTTTAGGGTTTATGGTGTAGGGTTTAGGATTATTATTTATTCTTTAGGGTTTATGTTTTTCCGTGTGTTGTATATTGCTTATTTTTTATCCAATATCCTTTGGGGTCTCTTGTTCAAGTTTACGGCTTCCTCTCTAGGGTTTAGGGTTTAGGGTTTAGGGTCTAGGGTTTAGGGTTTGCGGTTGCAGGGAGTGGAGCTGCCACAGACAGGCGGCCGCTCTTTAGCTGCTTTGCTGCAGTCGTTAGAGGAAAGGGGAATTGTAAAAGTTCAAGACGCCTTAAAGAATGCTTATGAGCTAGCAAAGCAGCAGCAGCAGCAGCAACAGCAGCAGCAGCAGCAGCAGCAAGTGCCTATACAGCAACAGCAACCGCAATCGCAACAGCCAGGCAAGGCGCATCAGCAGCAAACGCCCTTCGCGCCGCCGCAGCTCCAGCAGCAGCTCCAGCAGCTGCAACAGCAGCAGCAGCAACAGCAGCAACAACAGGAGACACTGCCGCAGCAGACACTGCCGCAGCAGACACTGCCGCAGCAGACACTGCCGCAGCAGACACTGCCGCAGCAGAATGGCCCATTATTGGCAGCAGCAGCAAAGCATGCAAGGGTTCCTGCTGCTGCAGATTCAGCTGGGAATGTTCCAACGCCTCCTCCAGTGAGCAGCAGCAGCAGCAACAGACGAACCACACAACAGCAGCAGCAGCAGCAAATTGATGCTTTTTAGATGTACACCTGGCAGTAGCTGCAAAGCCGTTCGTTGCAGCAGTAGCAGGCAGCTCGACAGCAGCACGTGAGCAGTAGCACCAACACATTAGCAGCAGCAGCAGCAACAGCAGCAGCAACAGCAGCGTGTTGTTTTTGTGCTGCAGTTACTTCCTGACCCAGAGACACTGGCTAAGGTTGCGGCATATCCTCGAGAGCGGTAAGGCATTGCGGTGTATACGCACCAGCAGCAGCAGCAGCAGCCGCAGTAGCTACTGCTGCTGCTTCTGCTGTTGCGAAGATCTATATCCAATCCGTTCTCCACTTATATTAGATGCACACCCCGGTACCATCGTGTGTGTTGCTGTTGAGTCTGTTGCTGCTGCTGCTGCAGGCAGGTGGATTTAATTGTTCGGCTGCTGCAGAAGCCGCGGGGGGCGCAGGTAGTGCAGCAGCTGCAGCTTGCGGGTCATGTTGCTGCTGATGTTTGTGCTGAGGCCATGGCTAGCTGCAGCTGCACGGTTCAGCAACAGCAACAGCAACAGCAGCAGCAACAGCAGCAACAGCAGCTGCAACAGCAGCAGCAGCAACAGCTGCAACAACAACAGGAGCAGCTGCAGCAGCAACAGCAGCAGCTGCAGCTGCAGCAGCAGCAGTTGAGACAGCGGCGGATGCAGCAGCAGCAGCAACCGCAGCAGCAGCAGCAGATGCATACGCAGTTCCAGCAGCAGCAGCGGGTGCAGCAGCAGGTGAGTCATTCTGCTGCCGATCTGCACGGCCCGCCTATCAAGCGGCCCCGTGTCGGCGACAACAGCAACAGCAGCAGCAACAACAGCAACAACAACAACAGCAGCAACAACAACAATAGCCACAACAACAAGGACAAGAACAGCAGCAACAACAACAACAATAACAACAACAGCAGCAGCAACGATAACAGCAGTAACAACAACAGCAGCAGCAGCAACAGCAACAACAACGACAGCAGCAGCAACGACAACAACAATAACAACAACAACAGCAGCAGCAACAGCAACAACAACGACAGCAGCAGCAACAACAACAATAACAACAACAACAGCAACAACAATAACAACTACAACACCAACAACAACAGCAGCAACAACATTAACAACAACAACAACAACAACAGCAACAACAACAACAACAGGAACAACAACAGCAACAACAACAATAACGACAACGACAACAACAACAACAGCAACAACAACAACAACAACAACAACAACAACAACATCAACAACAACAGCAACAACAACAACAACAACAATAACAATAACAATAACAATAACAAAAACAACAACAACAACAACAGCAACAACAACAACAACAGCATCAGCAACAACAACAACAGCAGCAGCAGCAGTAGCAGCAGCGTCAGCATCAGCAGCAACAGCAATTACTTGATTAGGGCAGACTATGGCACAGAAGGAGAGAGACGCTTTTTTAGGCCGCAGTTGCTGCGGCAACGGCCTAGGTTTATGAGCGTTATGAGGAGACACTTGCCGTTGGCGGGAGAGCAGCAGCAGCACCAGCAGCAGCAGCAGCAAAGAAGGGGTTGGGCATTTGTATTAGACGCAGATGCATCACAGGTGGTGCAGCAGCAGCAGCAGCTCCGGCAGCGGCTGCAGCAAGAGCTGCAGCAGCAGTACATCATGCGGCCAGTATCGGCTTCGGGATCTTCTCTGGCTCAGCAGCAGCTGCAGCAGCTGCAGCAGCAGCAGCTGATGCAAGAGGAAGAGGAGCAGCAGCAGCAGAACATGCTGCAGCTGTACATGCAGCGGAGGGTGCAGCAAATATTAAGACAAGCAGCAGCAAGACACGGCGTGTCTTTTGTTGCTGCTGACGAAGCAGCAATTGTTTCTAGATTGCTGCACGCAATACAGCTCAGGCTAACGTGAGTCCTTCTGCTTCGTGCTGCTACTGTTGTGGCTGCCGTGTCTGCCGCTGGCGTCGTGCTGTTGCTGCTGTAACTAACAGGTTCGCTGCTTTCTGACAAGCGCCCAAGCAGCGATTATTTGACTATGGCTGCTTGGCTGCTACTACTTCTGCTGCTGCTGCTGTTGCTGTTGCTGCAGGTTGCTGGCTCCTTGTTTGGAGGCCATATCTCATTACCGCGTTGACCAGATGTTTACACGTTTAATGGGCAGCAACAGCAGCAACAGCAGCAGCAACAGCGACACAGCAGATGCACAACTCTTAGGGACATCCCCTATTGGGGGAATGGGATGGGGTGATGAAGCAGCAGCAGCAGCACCAGGAGCAGCAGCAGCAGGTCCGCCCCCATTTGAGAAGCAGCAGCAGCAGCAAACGCTGCGGCTGAAGCCGCAGCTGTGCTTCTCAGTGTTGGCAGAACTCTTTTTACGCCGGGAGAACGACCAACAGGTGGTAAGGACACGCTACTGGTGCCATTGCTACTGCTGCTGTTGCTATTGCAGCTGCCGCTGCTGCTGTCATTTGTTTTGCTGTTGTTGCTGCTGCACGTACTGCTGCAGGCTGAGAGGCTTCATCGTCTTAATGAAGGCCGCCGCCGCGTTAAACATCGCCTAAAGTCGCGAGGAGCTGGGGGGGGCCTGCAAGCATCGAAGGAGGAGGTGCTGCTGCTTCTGCTGCTGCTGTTTCTGTTGCTATTGGTGTTGCAGCTCTGCGGCTGTGGCCATAGCTTTTGTTGCTGTTGTTTCAGGGCTGCTGCTGCTACTGCTGCTCCCCCAGCAATTTGGCAGGCAGTAGCTTCAGCTGGAGCCGCACCAGGTTTTAGCAGCAGCACTGTGTGGACTTTGAGCTCATTGGTCGTTTGCTGCAGTCTGCTGCTGCTGCTGCAGGCGGAGGCTGCTGCGAGCATGGGGTCGGCTGTAGCAGCTGCTGCTGCAGCAACAGATTCCGCTGCTGCAAGAGGCAGCAGGGGAGGTGCAGGGTTTCATGAGGACCCGCAGCAACAGCAACAGCCAGAAGAAGTAGCTATGGAGAAGGCCCAAGAATTTGCGGAGGTGCTTTGCTGCTTTTGCTGCTTCTGTGGCAGCAACAGATCCTGCCGTTGCTGTTTCTGGCAGTGTAGCTCTGGGAGAGGGGCACCTATCTGGTCAAGCTGCAGCAACCAGAGCAGCAGCAGCCACAGCAGCAGCTCCAGAAGCATTAGAGCTGCTGTATTGTGTTGCTACTTCTCCTAAATCGCCTCGTTCTCTTGCTGTTGTGTTGCTGTTGTGCTGCAGGTCGCTCACAGCCAGCGGCTGCTGCTGCTGAGGCTCACCGCCTTAGATTTGAGGGCTTTGCTGCAGATAGCATCGGCAGAGTCTATAGTTCCTCTTTCGTTCAGGTCCGCACCCACAGCCTTGCTGCTGCTTTCGTTGCTTCTTTTGCTGCTGCTGCTGCTGCTGTTGGTTTGGGGGCTGTGCCTGTGTTTCTGCTGCTGCTGCAGCTGCTTGTGTTGCAGCAGCCAGCAGAGGCAGCACTAGATAGCTCTGCAAGCTGTAGGCATCGATTGCAGCGCTGTTGCACCTACTGCCTAAGTACCCTGGCCGCGCATTCTGTTGCTATTGCTGTGATTTCTGCTGTTGCTGCTGGTACAGGAATCGTTTGCTGCAGTTTTTGGAGCTGCTGCATTTCGACCTGCAGGCGGAGCCCCCGCGCCTTCCTCCTGCTGCTGTGAGGCTGGCTGCTGCACCTGCGTCAGCGCTGGTGCAGCAGCAGCAGCAGCAGCAGCAGCCTAGCCAGTACCAGCTGCAGCACCATCACTTGCACCAGCCGCACAACGCGGCTGCTGCTGCAATGAGCAGGTCGCACATGCTGGCGCATGGAGTAAACGCTGGTGCAAGCGGTGCTGGTGGTGGCGGTGGTGGGCTAATAACCACAGCAGCAGCAGCAAATCTTGCTGCAGCAGCTGCTGCTCAGGCAGCTGGAGACAGTTCGAACCGTGGTCATGAGGCAGGTGCTGGTGCTGTTGCAGGTGGCGCTGCAGCAGGAGCACCGGCAACAGCAGGAGCGGCGTCAGCAGCATCAGCAGCAGCAGCAGCAGCAGCTGGTGCTTCTCAGGCGACACCTGGTGCTGCTTCAGGGGGGTCTCAAGCTGCTGATAACAGAAGACGAGGTGGGGGGGTTGCAACAAAGAACAGAAATAGAAAGAAAGCTGCTGCTGCTGCTGCTGTTGCTGCAATTGTGTTGGAAGCGGAGGACAAGAAGCGTGCTGCCCTGCTACAGCAGCAGCAACAAATGTACATACAGCAGCACGGAGTGGCGGCGCCGTTTCACGAGCAGCTATGTGGGCAGCCGGGGAACTCGCAGACACAGGAGCAGCTGCTGCAGCAGCAGCAACAACAACAGGAACAGCTGTTTCAGCTGCAGCAACACTTGCTTAGGGGCTCTAGCGCCAGTGTGCATGCACTGCAGCAGCACCAGCTGCAGCAGCAGCGAACGGCAGAGGAGGTGCAGCGTCATCGAGCTGCTGCAGCGGCAGCTGCTGCAGCCTCAGCTGCCAGTGCTGCTGCTGCTGCTGCTGCAGGGCTGCAGACCCCGGGGCATCCGCAACCGCATCACCAGCAGCAGCAGCAAATGCCAGGGGCACCAGCACCAGCAGCAGCAGACAAACGGCAGCAAGCCGTTTTGCCTCGATTTGGTGATTCTCTTGCTACTGCAGGACGCTCATCGGAGCTGCTTATTCCCGAGGTAGAGGAGGAGGACTTCTTGTGAAGTGCTGCTGCTGTTGGTGCTGCTGTAACCTCCACGTACGTGCATTATGATCTGCAGTATCAGCAACTCCGAATGCGCTGCAACAGCGGTAGCAGCAGTACATACCATAGCAGCAGTGTCAACTCGAGCTGCTGTAGCAGCAGCAGCCGGAACTCCAGCTGCTGCAGCTGCAGCAGGCTCTTTGGCAGCGCAGCAGCAGCAGTAGCAGAGACAGCCACAGCTGGAAGAATTCCTGCTGCTGCAGCTGCAAGCAGAAATTGTTTGCTTTTATAGGCTAAAAACTAAAAGGTTACTGCTTCATACACTTGACGCTCGATCCTTGTGCCTGTCTGCTGCCGATGCTGCTGCTGCTTACAGCAGCTGTTTAGGTTTGTTGGACTACTTCCCTGACGTCTTCTATTTTCGTTCGCTGTCTCAGTCTTTATGGCTATAGCCCGGCCTTTATTGTTATATGTATTATATATTATTACATTATAACATTTCTAGATGTACTTTAGCTTGATGTTTCTTAGACTATCTTCTCTTTTCTGTTCTCTTCTGCTCTCTCTACGATTACACACTTATGCTGTCCCCTCTCTGTTGGAAGCATCCTCTTGCTACTGTCTCCTCTAGAATTCTTAGGCAGCCTAGGTTCCTAAGTCATAATAGAGAGGAGAAAGAGAGGCAGCAAGAAGTCAACAAAGTCAGCAAATGGTGGTGCCGCTGCTGTTGCTGCAGCAGAGAAATGTGCGCTTGCATTTCCTTGCAATAATAATTTACATGATATAGTTTGACATAAAAACAGCCTCCCTCGCCTTGTGGTGCGGTTTGCTGCATGCAGACAGCAACACACTGCTGCCCCAGTCCTGCAGACCGGCTTCCCTTGTTTGTTTGTGGGATGTATGATACACCCCACATGTCCCGCAACGCAGCGGCGACGAAAAGGGTACAAACGTCTTTCTGGTGCCGCTGCTGCTTGTGCTGCTGCTGCTGCTTTTGCATGCAGGGTAGGCGGCTGCGTGCATGTGTGCTGCAGTGTGCTGCTGCTGGCTTAGCATAATATATATACATATATGTACTACGAGGGAGCAGGCGTCTTATTGAGCCGATTCAAATGCATGCGTGCAATCATTTTGTATTCGCCTGTTCAGTAAACCAATTTGCTTCCCCTCCTTAAGAGAAGTTGTGGGGCTTTGTCTCCTTCGTGCTGGATGACTTATCCCCGTCTGAGGTGCTGCCGCCTCCAAGTCTATCTTTTGCACGTAAGAACTTTGCATTTCCTTGCAATTCCCCCAGGACTTCATCATACTTGCGGCGCTTCTCCTTCTCTGCCTGCTGGTCTGCTGTACCCGCCTGTCCCTGTCCTTGCTGCTGTGATCTTACCTTCATCCAGGCATTAACGTGTTTGCGGCGTTCCTCTGCAAGAGCATTATTCCTCTCCTGTGCTCGCAGATAACGAGGGTTCTTCTTCAGCTCTTCTAACACTTCGTCGTACTTCCTGCGCGTTTCTGCGCTTGGTCCATCCTCAGAGGCAGGCGAAACCTGCTTATCCTCTCCCCCCCGAGACCTCTTGCGGGGAGGTGCCACCTCCGTTGCAGCAACATCCGACCCCTCCTCAACTGCCTCCGTTGCGCTTCCGTGGGCCTTGTCACCAGATGACAACTCCACCGCTGCAATGGCACTATCGTGCTGATTCCGAACACTCCCTGGTGCGGCTGCTTCACTGCTCACCTCTACAGACACAACACCTCCACCTGCTGCAAGGCACAGCAACCCCAGCAAAAAAGGACTACCGACGAAGCTGAGCCGCATTTTCGAGATAAAAGAGGGCACAATTCAATGGAGGCAGCACAAGTGAAAAACAATATTCAGCAAAAATAATTTGCTAATGCTGCGAATGTTCTGAGGGACAATAAGAACACCAAGAGCTCAGTGCTTCGCGGCGAGGAGCGGGAGAAAGCAAAAGCAGAAGCAACAGCCCTTGGGCGCTGAGATGAGCGCTGGTCAGACAGACCTAAGTGTCACCAGTTGGCTGTGTAATGCAATTATTTTTAATTAAATGACACTTAAAGGACTTGATTCAACTGTATTTTATTTTATTTGCACACGAAAAATGCATTTCGACCGCGCAAGCTCGTTGCCTTTCATGATGGACCCCCCTTGCGGTGACCGGTCGAGTCAGAAGACAGTGCGGCTTTCCCGCCGCTGCAGCTATCTTTCTTCCCTTTTTTGTTTTTATTTATAAAGTTAATTGAATAGTGATTGCGAAAGAGAGTTAGAAAAACTTGTCTGCGGGGTCGCAGCAACACAACACCAGCGTAACCACACTTGTGGGCGAGTAGAGAAGCAGAACTTGATGGGGTCCTTCTGGGCTTCCTTCACGGGAAGAAGCAATATATAAAAATTATATAACAGATTGCTTGTTTTAGCCAATTTTAGTCAAAAAGAACAAAGGTATCGCAGTCGGCCTGTCACTTTGCAATGGGTTTCAGTAATAAAACTCTACGGTATTTGTACCATTGGCGATGCAGTAAAAGCAAGTCGGTGGAAAGTAGGAGCATGCATCCTTACGCGGCCCTAATGCGCACACGGGACGCAAAAAGAATGCCCTAAACACTGTATATAGTGCTTGTACAAACAACCAAGATGGCTGGTTTATGCTCGTTTGTGTGGGCTGTCTTGCACCTCTGCAGCACTGCGGTGCGTTGCAGGTCGTGGTAGGCCGACTCATCTGCCGCAGCAACAGTTGCTTGAGCCGCCGACATCAGCACTTTTTGATACCGGCGAGTGAGGCCAGTTGTTTCTAAGAAAATCTCACCACTAGTATCTGTGTGAGCGCATTTGCATCGGATAAGAACCTACACTACCGCGCGCACCGACGGTATGATGCAGAGAACGAGAGGTAAATAAGACAATTAGGCCCACGGCAATTGACCTCGAGATAAACGTTGCTGTCGACACTGGATGTTTCAAAGGAAAATAATTGGAGACACGGGAAGGACTATACAAACCCAGTGGTGGTGGATTATTCTTCCCCTAGAGCAGCTGATCTCTCGTCAGTCATAGATGTCCTGGGCGCGGCAGCCCAACGGCTTAAGACTATGTAGAGAGGGCCTGCCTGTGACAGTTTCAACATGCTGTGCTCCAACTAACGCCTCAAGGCAACACCACAAGGAGGTCGCCGGCTGGGGAGACTCTTCTAGGATTTGCTGCTGCTGCTACGGAGATACAGTTCGTTGCTTCGGGTCTTCTCAGTAGCTAGGCGCTCTGCCGAGTCTGGTTGGGAGGGGTGCAGTTTTTTGTTGCGTGAACCACGACCAATCAGAATAGATGACGGTCAGTGAGCAACGACATTGTTCGATTGGTGCGGGACACAGCGACAAAATGAAAATGTTTCCACCGGTGGCATAGAAATGGCTACGGGTAGCAGGGAGGTGAAGCACCTGCCTGACGTCTGAGGGGAATTATCAACTCTGAAGGGCACGTTAGGTACAATTATATCAAAACCTTGACAATAGCGATACTCGAATGTTTAAACACCACCCAAATTAAAGCTGCGCAACGCAAACTCACGCTCGGTGCCTCAGCCGCAAGGTCAAAGTGGGCGCAAAGGTGGTTGCTAAGGAGCTTATCTGCAGAATTCTCAGAAGCTCACTCGTTTTGCGGCCTTTCGGGGAACACGGAAGGCAAGAATATATCGCCAAGTGGCAAGATATCTGTGACCTCTGAAAGTTCATATTGTACCGGCACTCAAGTACAGATTCACGCATCAGCTTGAGGTAGGACATATGAACACCAGCAGCAGCGACAGCCTGCAACGAATGTTTCTTGGACTCCTTCTAATCGTTCTCTTGAAGGTTTCCGGTACTCAAAGGAGCATGGCTACATATCAGAAGCCAGAAAACGCAGGCATAATGGCGGGGCATCTAGAGTTCAACGTGGCACTTCATTCATGCAGGATGCGTGGTGCCTACATGCAGCTGGCATGCGTCTGCTGCACGCCGCCCACTGCGTACAGCCGCTTGATCACAGTGAAAGAATGAGCTCTTTTTGAGAACGTTAGCTAGAGAGAGACCCTAGACATCCAGTAGCAGCTGTTCAGCTGTGTCCCCCTCATAAGGTACAAGCAGCTGGGCTTGTGGGCGTCCCATGGAGCGGCCACCGCTGCGGATTTCGAAGGGTTAATTCTCATTGTGTGCGCTGTACCTTGAGGGGATTATTTCAGTATGACGGAAGTTCCGGCTGTCTGCGGTTTAATGAAACCTCAAGCAATTCTAGCTGCGCAAGCTGCAGAGCACTTCGTGTGCCTTAGGACGCTAAAACCTAGACCCGAAACCCGAGGCAAGAAACCCTAGATAGTAAGGAGTATACAGAAGTGCAGCCTGATGGTGCATCAAGATCCGTGCATAGCTTGTTCTGTTTTTTCCGCCAAGGCAGACGGCCGTCTTCTCTCTGTCTTATATATGTCTTCTTAGTCGACTGCGGAGGTCAATAATAGATCTGGTGCACTAGTTGATCAGCCTGGTGTAGAGATTCCTTCTGCTGCAGTTGCTGCTTATTCTGCTCACGTCGCCTGATTAATTGCTCTAAGGCAAGCTTAACATGCTTCAGTGGATCTCCCGGTAAATGACAACTAAGTGGCCCCCCTCCCACCGGGGGCCCACAGCTGGTCACGGGCCCCACATATACCCAAGCGCGAGACAGCATTACGCCTCCCTCAATAAACAATATTTTGCAGAGGATTAACACGTTTTTCCTAACACAGAAAAAGCAGGGGCTCAATACCCTAAACGCGAGGCCTCCTCATTCTCCAGGTCACCTCAGGGGACTCCAGGGGCCCCAGGGTTCTACCATGCCCAAGCAGAGGGCCGACGAAGCCCAAGGGGTCGGAGGGAGCCTTTTTAGCAATTATCCAGCATTTTCACCTCTTTCGGTATATGCTGCCTAATTGTTACCCGTGCTTGAGCTGCTGAACAGGCGGAAGTACCGCCGCAGTGACGAGCAGCAGCAGCAACGGCAACGCCTACGAGAACAGCCCAAACAGAAAAATAAAATGATTCTGTGAAGCTGCTTGCCAGATGGGCTTGGTGCTGTTGTGGCCTTCTTTGCTGCAGCGGTGCGGCCTACTTTCTCACCACACACCACGCTCGGCTCGACTGCTTTGCCACTGCTACAGCAGCAGCTGCAGCCCAAGAAACACCAGGCGTGGCTGCAGTACAAGCAGCAATGGCAGCAGATGCAGAACAGATAACGGCAACGGCAACAGCAACGGGGGATTCACGGCAGCACGGCAGCATAGCGGGATCCCCTGGGGCGCTCTAGTGATCCCAAGGATATTAACAGCAGGTGGTGCTGCACGGCTAGCAGAAACAGCAGCAAAAACAGCAGGAAAAAGTGTAGCAAAAGCTGGAGATACAGCTGATGGAAAGAGGGACGATGTGAAAAAGCATACCTTGACTTCGTTGCGCTTGCAGCTGGCCCATGCAAGGCGGCTGCTCTTGGAGGCCTCAACAACGCCGGAGCACCAGCAACAGCAGCAGACTCTCCTGCCTGGTATTGCAACAGCAGAAGAGGCACCAGCTACTGTGTCAGGTGCCGCAGCTGCTGCAGCTGTTGCTTCAAGCCTTCGTGCTGGTCGATCTTTGCTGCTGCACCTGCAGAGACGACAGCAGGCAGCATCTGCACAAGGATGCCTGATACCGCATACATTTGCACTCTGCAGCAACAGCAGCAGCAGCGAAAACAACAACAGGAGCAACAGCAAGTGCTGGCAGTGCAGCAGCAGCATCTCTACTGCAAGCCATGAGGAGACAAGGCGATTGCTTTTAACCTGTCTTCAGCTGCTAGCAGCAATCGTAAGAAGCACTCCTTGCCACGGTAGACCAGAAATACCAGACATTGCAGCAGCAGCGACAACAATAAAAGCAACAGCAGCAGCGACAACAATAGAAGCAACAGCAGCAGCGACAACAATAGAAGCAACAGCAGCAGCGCACGTCGAGGCCGCTCGCGTTGCCGTTCTGTTGCTGCAGTGTCTGCTGCACGCGAAAGAAGCGAGGCAGCTGCAACACATTCAAGCTGCAACAGACTGCCTGGAAGCAGCTGCCAATCAGCAACTCCACCTGCAGCAACACTGCCACCAACAGCAGCAACAGCCTCAGCAACAACAGCAGCAACAGCAGCAGGTGGACAAGCAAAACTACCTTGAGGCTTTGATGTGGCAACAGCAAACTGAGTTGGCTGTGCTCTTGAAGCGCTCTGTGCGGCTATTGGCTGCTCTACTCAATCGCCTTGCTAAGCGCTACAAGCGGCAGCAGCACCAGCAACAGCAGAAGGAGCAACGGAAGCAACAGGAAAGGGAGCTTAGAAGAAACGAAAAGCAGCAGACTCACCATCACGTGCAGCAGGAAGACTTACAAAGCCAGCAGCAGCATCAACCGCAGCAGCAACAGCTGTGCAGCCCTGCATTTGCAGCTGAATGGAAGGGTGTGTCTGCTGTTGCTGCTACATCGGCCCTTGCAGGGCCTGCAGCAGCAGCAGCTCTGTCGTCTGTACAGCGGCTCATAGAAACTGCAGCCCGCCTGGTGCAACATTCGCTGCGGCAGCAGCAATTGCGGCATCAGCAATTGCAGCAGCAGCAATGCCAGCAGCAACTGCAACAGCAGCAGCCACAGGAGCAGCTGCATCTTGCAGAAGACCGACGGGCATCTACATCCGTAGGTGGCTCGCAGCACTTTGCTGCAACAGCAAGTATTGATTGTTGGTCTCTGAGGACCGACAGCGTGTTGCCAGCACCAGCAGCAACGGTAACGTCAGCAGTAACAGAAACTGCTGCTGCAGCAGCAGCTGAGCTTAAGCACCTCTCCCCATTGTTGCTGTGGCTGCTGCCTTCTGTCTTCGTGCTAGCGCAGCAAGCAGGAAAGCCTGAAGTCAACTGGTTGTGGCGAGTTGCTTCGCTCCTAGTGCAGCAGCAGCAACAACACCACCACCAGCAGCAGCTGCTGCTGCAACACCAGCTTCAGCTGCCGGAATTGAGTTTGCTGCTGTTTGCGGCAACACGACTCTGCTCTCTGCACTCGGCGCAACAGCAGCAGCTGCAAGACCAGCTCGAACGCGGGGAATCAGCTGCTGTTGCTTCGCCTAGTGCTGCTGCAGCAGCTGTAGCTGCAACTGCATGCAGGCTGCAGCTGCTAAAACTAGCTTCATGGTGCTCCTTCCGTGCTGCCGCATTGTTGTCAGGTGAGGACTGTCTGCAGGCAGGCGTTGCTTCAGGAGTTATTACTCCTTCTCCCCTAGTAGCACAGCAGCAGAAGCAGCAGCTTCTCCAAAGCCAACGCCCGTGGCTGCGCCCCAGCTGCGTTTTGCTTCTCGGCTTAACGCGGTTACTACAGCAGGAGCAGCTGTTGCTTCCTGGCAGTCTGCTTAACAGTTCCGTGCAGCAGGCACTCTTGGGTACCCATGTTTGTAGCAGCTGGTGTAGCAGCAGCAACTGCAGCAGCAGCAACGGCAGCACACACTCTAGAAAACAGGTCATGCGAAGCAGCCCGAATACATCGGAGCTTGCTGCTGCAGCTGCTTCGTTCCTGAAAGCTCTCGACAACCGCCTGGTCGCTGGCGATTGGCTGCAGCAGTCACACCAGCAGAAGCACCAGCAGCGTCTTATTGCCGGTATGCGTGGGCATGCTGGACACGTCCTGGCAGACGACAACGAAGCAACAGCACTAGCGGAAACAGCAGCAGAAGCAGCAAGAGCAACAGCAGCAGATGGCGCATGCAAGAGAGAGCAGCTGTTTTTTTCAGGACGTGACTTCGTGCATTTGCTGCGCTGTTTTGTCTCTGCTCGCTATTTATCAGATTTGATGCTGCACAAGGCCCTGTCATTTTTAGCTGCAAACCCGCCTGTCGTACAAAGCAAGCACAGCCAGCAGCAGCATCAACAGCAACAAAAAGAGCAACAACAGCAGCAACAAGATCCAGCAGCTGCAGCTGCAGCTCCAGCGGAAACTCTTGGGGGCATGCCACTGCTGCTGTCTCCTCAGGACGCTGCGCTCCTTCTGTGGGCCGTTGGAACTGCTGCACCTGCTGCGGTGTCTCGTCAGCTGCTGCAGCGCCGAATGCAAGGCAAAAAAGGTTTTCTGTTTAAGATTTCAACTGCAGCATCCCACCCATTTTCTGGCGCTGTTCCAGCAGCACCAGCAGCAGCATCATCCCCAGCAACAACAGCAGCTGCTGCTGCTGACAGCTACAGGCAAACCAGGCTGTCTCCGGAGGTGCAGTATATGCTGCGTAGACACTTTAGGGCTCTAACCAGGCAGCTACTCCTAAGTAATTCTCTGCAGGGTTCCGGTTCTGCAGCTGTTGCATGTGGACAACTTGCTACCAGCAGCAGCAACAGGAGCAGCAACGACGGTGGCGCAGATAGCCAAGCCATAGCGAATGCTGTGTGGGGCCTGACTTGCTGCGGCTTGCTACAGTACCGTCTGTTGAGAACTTACTGCACTTCACCCTCCTTCTGGTGCTGCTTTCGCAGCAGCAGCACGAGGACAGAAAGGAGGCAGCTGCTGCAGGCCGCTCTTCTCTTGCGTCTGCAGCGCGTGAGAGCTCCTTATGCAGTATCCATTGCTGCGGCTTCACCCTCTGTGACAGCGCAGCGGCGTTACTGCTGCGCAATAGCTGCTAATGGGCTAGCAGCAGAAATCCATCGCATGCGTCCTAGCAGCATAGGTTCTCATCGGTGGAAGCTGCTGCAGTGGTCCAGAGGCAGACGTCGGGCCAGAGACAGTTCCAGTTGTGTAAAGGAGACAACCAGCGGCGTCAGGCCATCTTTGCTGCAACAGCAGGTGCTGCGGGTACTGCAGCGGCTTCTACAGCGGTCTGCTACAGCAGCAACGCGGATAACGGGGCAGCAAGACTCAGCCGGAGAACCAGCAGCAGCAGCGAGCAGCATCTCAAAAGCAACTGCAGCAGCAACAACAGAGCCCCCTCCTGTCCCAATCCGCACCCTGCATGAGTGCAGCGTGGGAGGCGGCCTGTTGCTGGACATTGCTCTTCTGGAGCAGCAGCAGAAACAGAAGCAGCAAAACGCTGCTGCTGGAAGGCGGCGCACTTGCTGCTCCCCCCTTCGCATTGCTGTCGAAGTTGATGGGCCTTCCCACTTCCTGTTGAGTGTGCGTGCTCCCCAGCAAGTCTTGGTGGGTGAGCAGACACCCCAGCAGCTGCGCAGCAGCGGACTCGCTGCTAGTAGTAACGATTGCAGCAACGGCTGCAGCTCGAGCAGCAGCAGCAACAATGACAGAAACAGTGTAGTAGTGGAGCTCAGGTCTGACGGAGGGACAGCGCTAAAGCATCGGCTCCTGCTGCTATTAGGCTACCGAGTCACGCAGATTTGTTTCTTAGAGTGGCAGCATCTACAGAGGGAAGAGCAGAAGCAGCAGCTGTTGCTGCAGCAACCCCCTTTGCAACAGCTTCTGCGGGGGCAGCAGACCAGAGGCCGTGCAGAATAGGCGCACGATCCCACTCCAAAACAGCGAAAATGGAATATTACCCAGCAGCGGCAGCAGTAGCAGCAGCAGCATCGGCAACGGCAGCAGCGGCAGCAGCAGCAGCAGCAGCAGCAGATTGATTAACACATGACTTGATCTCGTCTAGACTAACAGTGCAGCAGACAACAGCCCTCTCCCGGGAACGGCAAGAGCTTGCTCGAAAAGGCGCATCGTGGTTGCCGTTGCTGCTGTTGCAGAAACAGCAGCGACAGCAGCAGATCCACAGGAGTTGAATGCAACGCCATGTTTTTTAAACACTTGTTGAGGCGTATCTCATGTTGCACCTACTTCACAGTGCAAGCGGGGGCCACAAGTGGGCGCGGGTGCCCCTCTGAGCACCACAGAGACCCCAGCATTTTTAGGCTAGAGCGTAGGCAACTGCATGCAGCGTCGCTTCCTTCTGTACGGTGTGGCTATTCCTCGGCTTTTTTTCTCTCCTTGCAGGCAGCAAGAGACGAGTAAGGGAGCTTTCTCAGTGTTTTCAAAGAACAGGAGCTGTTGGCTGTCAGCTCCACAACTGCAGCAAGACAGATACGCCTACCTGTTGCAGCGCTGTGGTCAAGACTGTGCACCCCAATGGGACCACTTCAGCCAGCTGGCTGCCTGCGGAGGCAGCAAGAAGCAGCTGGCTAACTGTAGGTCGTACCAGTTGGCTAGAATATACTGGCTGCTGTTGGCTAGATACGAGTAACTAGCCATCGACGTGCGCTGGAGCAGCGCCCAACCCACAGCTTGCACAGCTATGGTGGTGAATGCTACACACCAGGTTGCCTGCTAGGAATTGCAGTAGTTGCCAAGGAGGACTTAGGGATACAGCTCAGCTGCGACTTTGAAATTAACGCTCTGGCCTTCATGTGGGGAGATGGGATCGTCTCCCCTGCCAGCTAGATTGGGACAGATATGATCGGGATCGGTGTACGGGGGTCGAGTGATCTCCCGTACTTACCCGCTTCCTGTCACTCTCCAGTGCTTCCAAAAGACTTTTCTGGAGATTCTTGAACATATATTTATTTAGTTTCATTTAAGTGGAATGGAAGGAGCAGGCAGCGGCGCTAGAAGAAGGGCAGCACGAAGGGCCTCAAGAGGTGGGGGCCCCGCATCTGCTGGGGGGTCACGTGACGAGACACTCCGATTCACTGCGTTCGTCGTGCTCTTTTTCTGCCTTTTTCAAGGTTTAAAATATAATATTTTCGGTTCTTTTTAATTGAGTAGGAACATGAGGAGCTGCAGCAGGACCAGTGGCAGCGAACTCAACGCCGCTGTAGCTGAACAACTCGCTGTAGGTCACTTTAAACAGCCGCTGGCGGTAGCTACCCGGCTCAGCGATAGAGACCTTTAGGTGGTTTCTCTTCTTACTGTTCTTGTAAATCCTGCCCTAAATTTTATATTGGCAGGAGTCAAAGCGTTTTTAATGAGATCCGTTGCGTGGTTTGCCTCTAGCAGCCGATCCCTCCTGCATCTACTCAGCGTCCGTTTGTGGCACTCCGTGTGCCCTTTCCAGTATGGCAAGGGAGCAAAAGAAAACGGGAAGTATAGCAAAGGAAACTACACATATTCCTGTCTCTATTCCGTCATCTGTTTCTCCATTCCGTCACTCTCTGGCGCAATTGAGCAACCCTGACTCTACACCCCGATAGCTTGCATCCCCATACTCCTGAGCAGCACAGTATATTATGCTTGGCTTCTTGGCTTCTCGCCGAGTTTTATTACTTCCCAGCCCTATTGAAACAGTAGGACCTCTTCTGTGTACCTGCTACGCTGCTGATTACGGGCCCAAAAACTGGCTGACAAGAGGAGAGACTGAACGGAGCTATTGCCACCCATGACTGGTGGCTTCCGATGCGTTTAAAGGCGCGCTGTTGTTGTTTAGGGAAGACACGCCATAGACTGCAGAAGCAACCCTTGGTGTTTCTCTTCGGCACGGCACACTTCACGCTACCCCTGCAACCTGAGCACTCATCCTTGCCGCAGCAGAAGCTGTTGCTGCAGAATCAACAGCACCTGCAGCAAAAGCGGAGGCAGCAGATGCTAGGCAAAGGGAAAACAGTAACAAATTTGGCACGCCACGAGAAAGTAGAGACTCATCTACCTCCCATTTGGGTATGCTGGTGGAAAGACCGCTTAAGTCGCTGAGGTTTGGTTGCTAAACCGGTCTCGCGTTCCCCCCACAGCAGCTGCTCGGCAGCACTAGAATGGCAGCGTGCTGCCGTAGTAAGTGTTGGCCGAAGCAGCAGCACCAGCAGCATCTGCAGCAGCAGCAGCAGAGGCAACAGTGCTGGCGCTTGTGCAATGGTCTTCCACCCAGGCGAATTCCTTTCGGCGAGTGTTGCCGGTGCTCAAAACGTGCAGAAAGGCTGCAAGGTATAGTGCTGCAGCATCAGCAGCAGCCGCTGCAGCACCAACAACAACGGGTGCATCGAGCGTTACCAAATCGCCAGGTTTCTGTGTGTCGCACAAGCCCGCTAGTGATATCTTCGTCTGTTGCAGAGGACGTCAGTCCTCTTAAATTAACAAGGGTGTCATCTATACCCACAGTGGCTACGGCAGCTGCAAGGCCACCGGCTGCAACAACTCCAAGCTCAGCCGCAGAAACAGCAGCAGCATGCGAGCAGACACGGCTAGCAGCGTCTGGCTCGACAACAGTGCTTTCCACTGATTTGTGTATGGGTGACCACAATGCTGTCCCATCAGCTGCCTGTACACGCCAAAGTGCTGCAGCACAACCCAATTTCCTTACATGTTTCAGACTGTCAGGGTTAGCTCCTGCATGCGGCAATCTTGCAACCAGTAGCAGCAGAGACTTGCACAATTTCAGCGTCATCTGCAACAGCAGCAAGGAAAACAGCAGAAGCAACAACGGCAACAGAAGCAGTAGCGCAACTGACGATCGCAGTTCTTTTGTTGCGTCCGATGCAGAAAAGGCAGCAGCAGCAGCGGTAGAGGCTGTTGCAGCTGCAGCCTTCAACCTCACGTTGCGTTCCCAACACCAGCAGCAGCAACCGCAGCAACAACAATTGCAGCAGGAGCCACAACTGCAGCGGCAAGAGCTGCTGTTGTTGCGGCCCCAACATACACCAAGCAACGCTAGCATGTCTGCTGCGGCTGCCCATGTCCCCTTTAGAGGAGACAGTCTCTGCCGTCCTCAGCTGCCGCACGGTCTTTTCGAAGCAGACATCCAAGACCGTTGGACAGCAGCACTCAGTGGTGATCAAACAGATGCTAGACAGCAGCAGCAACAACAGCTGCTGCAGATGACGACTGCGTTGGGGTCGGGGACATCAGCAGCATTAGCAGATGTGCAAGGGGCAACCTACCCTAGCCTCCATCCCACTCAGATGCCCTATCCTATGGAGCTGTCGTGGCAGGAGGAGCAGCATGACGAGCAAGGACGACAACAACTGCTACAACACTCACAACAGCAGAAACACCAACAACAGCAGCAACACCAGCATGAAAGGTTGCCCAAGACGCATAAGGTGTCGGTCAGGAGACAGCGCAGATATATGTTGCCTCCTTGGCCTCTACCACGGAAAGCTGCTGCATCGGCAGCAAGTTCTCCCAAAGGCCATCAGCAGCCGCAGCAACAGCACCCTCAGCAGAAAGTTGACCAGAGGCTACCTGGACATGGCAGCATTCTGTTGCTGCAGCAAGAGGCTCAAGACGATGCAGCGCCGCAGATCTCCCACCCTGTTTCAGCAGGTTGTCTTCAACAGCCATGGGGAAGCAGCAGCAAGACGCAGCATCAGTTCGCTTCTGCTCCACCTGCTGTTGCTCCTGCTGCTTTTGCTGTTGTGGCAGTTGCTGCCTCTGGGAGGGAATCGCCTCCTGCTGCTAGTGGCAACGGGGAGGCAACTACCTCCGTTACTGCTGCTGACGAGGAGCAGCAGAACCTGGCCCCTTCTCTCTTCTTTAGAGACACCCTATGCGGAGTCCCTTTGAGACTGTTGGCCACAGGAGGAGGAGACGCAGCAACAGCAACAACAGCAAAGTTTAGCGAAGGGGTGTCGCTACCTCCTCTGCAGACACCGCTCAGCCGTACCAACAGCTCCAGCGTACGTAAATCGGCCGCATGTTCGTTAACACTGTTTGCTGCAGTCCCTGCCGGTGCTGCTGCTGTGTCTGTTCTTTGCTGCTGGTAAAGCTTAACTGGAGAAAAAGACTTTCCTTGTCGTTTTTACCAAGCCGTTGTTGTCGTTGTTGTTGTTGTTGCTATGGTCATTGTTGTTATTGATATTATGGTTGCTTCTGCTGCTGCTGCTGTTGCTGCTGATGCTGATGCTCGCTGCCTCTCTTTCCGCCAGTAGACAGGCAACATCCCACCTTTTTTTGTATCTGCAGGAATATGTTAGATGTGCACAAGTGCAGCAACAGCAACAACACCAAGCGCAACCGCCACAGCAGCAGCAGCAGCAGCAGCAGCAGCGCGTGGGTCAACAGGAGGCCGCCCCAGCTGACACTTGGTGGGGGGGACAGTTGCCTCGTGACACGCACCAGAAGCTTCTGCTGGTGCAGCAGGAACAACAGCTCAGCTGGCAGCGGTGGCAGCAGGGAGCACAGCAGCAGGAGCGACATGCAGCAGCACAGGCAGCATCAGGAAGCAGCCAAGATGAAGGGCAAAACGCAGCAGCTTCTCGTCGGCTACCTCGTAGTCCCTTGACGCTAAATGTGGAGACACAAAGACGCCGCCGGAGACACAGCAGCTACGGTGATGCAGAAGCTTCAGCAGCAGCAGCAGCTACTGCTGCTGCTGCTGCTGCTGATGCTGAAGGCTACAAAATTTCCTTCAGATTCGGCTCTAGCGGAGATAAGTCCCTTCCGGAAGCATCAGCGAGGCTGCGCTTTCATAGAGACACAGACGGGAACACAGGCAAAAACGGGGACACAGCAAGAGCAGTCGACAGCAGCACATGCCCATGGGCAGCTGCTGCTACGGTACAGCACCGCTACGAGGGAGAGAGAGATAGAGCGGGACAAAGAGACAGAGAGAGAAATATAGACAAGGACACAGACGAAGGCATAGACACATATGGGAGGAGAGATACGGAAGGATATAAAGACATTGACAGAGATAGTGACAGATTTGGAGATAGCGATGGAGACAGCGATAGGGCCAGACGTAGAGAGCGCGAAAGAAACAAAGACACAGACAGGAAGAAAGGCGGCAACAAAGCGAATAGCTTCTGTATATCTAGACTGTCTTGCCGCGATCCCGGCCGCCGTAGAGACAGCCCCCCGCTGCATGGAGCTCATAGCAGCAGGCGACGGAGGCTTTGGGGAGACAGCACGGGGGGACGACGCCAGGAAGAGGAGACAGGGTCAGAGGAGACTGTTGGAGACCGTTTGTATCCATGTGGCTCCGTCAAGTCTTTCTCAGAACCATTGAGCGACGAAGCAACACACCCTGCTGCTGCTGCTTCTGAAGGCACTGCTGGACGGGAAACAGAAACGGAGCTCGATTCCTTTGCAACACCAGCAGCAACAACAGGTCCAGCAGTAGAAGCAGCAGGGGCGCAGCTACACCCCCTCCCCTATGAATACGGATTCCAAGTACACAGCACAAAAGCCGGAAAGTCTGCCGCTTCCCCTGCTGCTGATGCTGCTCATGTGTCGCATGCAGCAAGGGCCAGGGGATCCCAGGGGTCTTCGGATGGGAGTCAGAGCAGGAGCAACACCTGCTACAACGCCAGCCACTGCAGCAGCAGTCGCTGCATCAGCGGCTGGGGCAGCGGCTACGGCAGGGGGCAAAATGCTACATTAATCCGACATGAAGTCGAGGATACCGAGGATACTTCTATTGTGTCTCTGGAGCAGCAGCAGCAACAGCAACAGGACCTCACAGATGAATCTGTCACAGCGACGTATACCTCAAGCTGCGGGAACGGTTGGGTACACTGCAACAATGAGGAGCAGCACTTGAAGGCGCCGGAGGAACAGCAACGACTGTGGGAGCAGCAGGAACGATGGGAAACACAACAGCAGCAGCAACAAGAGCAGCAGGAGCAGCAGCACTTGCACGCATCGTCCAACACATCCTCCCCACGCACGACATTCGCCGAGTCTGTCTTATCTGCTGACACGTTTGCTCCACAGCAGCAGCTGGGACAGCAGCAGCTGGGACAGCAGCACAAGCAGCAGGCGCAACAGCACATGCAGCCGCAGCAGCAGGAGCGCATGTTGGGGCGGCCATCCGTACTAACGGGGGCAGGGAGGCCTAGAGGGGACTGGGAAAAAGACCTGAGAGTTGAGTCTCTGCAGGCAAACACGGGAAGCTGCATTTTCACAGACCAGCAGTCAGCCTCCACTGGGTCTCTCTCCTTAGACTCTGTGGCTGCGGCGGGCTGCTCCATATATCCCCGCTTCAGCAGAGCCCTTAAGCCAACAGCTGCAGCAGCCCCAAGCACGCGAGAAGTGAGCGCTGACGGTTGCATTGCTGGTGCAGGAAGCCAGCAGCAGCCCCGCAGCTCACATGGCTCAGTGCCTTCTCCAGATGCTGAGGTTAAATATGCTGCGCTTGGCTGCAGCAGCAGCACGAATCGAGGAGATACTGGTGTACACAGAGAGGCTGGTCTTAAGGGCCCCACTGCAGTAGAGCCAGCACCACCTGCTTCTGCGGCTGCTCAGGTTCCGTCCCTGGCGAGAGCAATTCTTCGCATTCCCCCTATCAAGGTTAATAAAGGGGAGAAAAGGTGGCGCATGCAGCAACACCTTCTACAGCACCTGCAGCAGCAGCACAAACAAGTGCACAGCCGACTGCGTGTCCCTCAGGCGCAGATATATCGACGCATGTCGAGCATGCGTAGCGCTTCCCTACGAGGTCAGCTACAGCACTTGCTACAGCGGAAGCAGCAGCTTCTGCTCCATGAAAGGCTATGTTGCAGCAACACAGCACAAGAAATGCCTGCTAATGCTGCAGGAAGACGCTCCCCCGACGAAGACCTTTTCAGAAAGAACACCCACTTGGCTGCTACTGCTGCTGCCAGTCAGCAGCAGCAGCGGCAGTTTGAGGAACTGTTTGAAACCTCATCGCAACGTGTGTATACAGCAACAACTGCAGCAGCAGCTGCTGCTGCAGCAACACCAGACCCAGCAGAAGATGCAGTAACAGATGCAGATGCCGCAACAGAAGCAGAACCAGGAGCCGCAGCATTCTCAGGAGCGTCGTCAGAAGGAGCTGCTGCGTCTGTTGTTGATTCAGCTACTTCACACAATGAAGCTGCAGCTTCTCCAGCTGCAGGTGGAGAGACAGCAACAGCATATATAGCAACAACTGTTGCTGCTCCTCGTGTTCCTGCTCCCGCCCATGTTGCCGCAAATACATATGACCCGTTAGACCGAACAACAGGAGTTTCTTCGGAGTCTCCCTCTGTCCCCTCAGAGCTGCCTCTTGAACTTCCGAAGCAGCAGACATATACTACTGCCCCAGCTGTCTCTACTGGTGCTGCTCTTGCGGCAATGGAAGAAAGTCTCCTCGATGCAGAAACAGAGACAGCTCAAATCTCTGCAGCGTCGGAGCTTGTCGCTGCAGCTGTAGAGAGAGCAGCAGAGCACTGGGAGATAGCCCAAGTGGCAGGAAGAGCAGAAGCAGGCGCAGCACCGCAGTTGCCGCCCCGCATATTGCATTGGGAGCACCTTCTCAGCAACAGCGTTCAGCAGCAGCAACACACGCCAAGAACCTCTGCAGCAGCTGCTGCACAAAGAGCAAAAGAGGCAGCTAAACGAGCTGTTTTAGCAAGCAGAAAGGCAATCGCCGCAGCTGCAGCAGCAGCTAGGGAAGCGGCAGCCCCGCTGCCCCGCAGCAGTAGCGGCAACAGCAGTAATGATTTAAACAAGCACTCCAACAATCCCCCTTTCCCAAGGCGGAATAGCGCACAGTTGCCTCCTGTTGCTGCTTCGCGGACTCTTTTGAGAGACCTAGGTGGCCACAGCAGCAACAGCAGCAACGGCAGCAAGAGCACGTGGCCAGGTAGCCAGGCAACAGGACAGTTCGTCGCCGCGACAGGTTTAGGTGCTTCAAGCACCGATGCGTCCGCTGTCGGCTCTCCTGCTGCTGCTCCTGCTGCTGGTGCAGCCAAACGTGTCAAAAAATTGGGCATGCATGCAGCACAAGGGGAAAAGCAGAAGGAGAGCTTCTGCGCATCGCCACGCAATCGCGTCAATCCTATAAATACAAAACCTGGAGAAACTCACCCTGAGGAAAGCAGCAGTACCAGCAGTAGCAACAGCAGCCAACAAAGCAACAACAGAAGTCGGCATCCAACTTCCCAGGCAGGAGAGGAGACCGAAAGTTTGGAGGCGTACCCGCACAGCTCCATGATACCGAACAGCAGCAGCAGCTGCTGCAGCAGCTGCAGCAGCAGCAGTGGTAGCCGTGCCCGTCCTCGTGTGCTGCTGATGCAGCTACGCCTCATGCAGCAGGAGGAGCAACAGCGGGCATCAGGTCTCAACTACCTGCAGCAAAAGCAGCAGCAGCTGCAGCGGTTAGCTCGAATAGAGACGGCGAGGAAGGCCAAGGCAGAAGCAGTTGCAGTGGAGAAGATCCACAGACGCATTGCCAGTAAGCCTCTCCAAACAAACATGCATAATTCGGTTGACGCTATTGAGGCTGCTACTGAAGTTCCACAGCTTTCCTGCTGCTGCTGCAGAATTAAGCTTCTGCAGAAACACCACAAGGGCCCCTGCGATCATACTTAAGGCCGCTGAAGGCGCACCGCCTTCCAGTGTGCATACACCCCAATTGTTTATGGCATCCGCAGCACTCGACGCTCTGCAGCATCGGATGTTGCAACAGGAAGCAGTGCGCCAGTGCACTAGCGTCCTGCAGCAGCAACAAATGAAGCAACGCGAGCAGAGAAGACGAAGCCGGTTACTGCCAAGCAATAAGACTATCGAACAGCATCATCCACAGCAGCAACAGCAGCAACAACCGAAGCAGGATAAGGCAGGCGGTGTGATTCTGCTGGGATTTCAGCCAGCCGTACGCCCTCGCATGCACACTGACATTTACGGTGGCGTCCCATTCTGTCTGGAGCTGCCGTTGATGCTGCTGTTACTCCTGTCCCTGCTGCTGACGTTGCTGCTATTCCTTTTGCTGCTGCCCTTGCTGCTGTTGCTGCTGCGTCTCCAAAACGCCGTTCCAGCGGGAAGCTGCAAATGCGGACCATCGTCTCCTGCATTCTTTACTTCTCCAGGCATTCTGGGAGCAGAAGCGGAGAAAGGCAGAGCAGCAGCGGCTCAATAGGGCAGCAGCATACGGCGTACTGCTGCAGCAGCAGCAAGCCTCCTTGGGCCGCCTGCAGCAGCTGCAGCAGGAAGCAGCTCAAGAGTGAGTACGGCGTTCTCAGTTAAACCCAGAGTGGATGCTACAACAGCATCAGCTGCTGCTGCCCTCTACACTACCACTCTCTGGCAAAATAAATGATAGCGCTTCCTGCAGCAGCCGATTCCTGCAACCCCAAACCTGTTGCTACCTCCGTTTCTCATGCTGCTGTTGCAGGCTGGAAGCTGCTGTCAGTTCTCCTAAAGTCGAATTGACATACTGTGAAGCCTAAGGAATGTTCAGCTGCTGCCGCTGCAGCAGCAGGTGCTGCAACGGCACCACAGCGCGCAAATGCAGAAAACAACCGTCCGTGACTGCTGCTGCTGCAAAAGTCCGAAGTAGCAGCGGAGATAGCAGCAAAAGAAGCAGCAGTGCAAGCCACCAGCGTCGTCTACAAAAGCAGAGGTCACGGCTTGAACTCTTGCTACAGGCACAAGGAAAGAAGACATGCATGCTGCAGCAGTCACACCTGTTGTTGCTGCTCATGCAACAAGCACAAAGAACTGCCCGCTCACACCACTGGCGCACGTGCTGTTGCCGCTGAAACAGCAGCACCTGCTCCTGCTGATGCTGAAACAGCAGCAGCAGCTGCTGCTGCCCAGACACCCATGCGCACGACTGGCGTTGCTGCTGATCCAACCGCTGCTGCTGAAGAAGAAGCATTTGCAGCCCTTAAACGTGCTATTCGTCCGCCCCATAACAGCAGAGGCCTCCAAGTCGTGTCCTGTGGTGCGGCTGCTGCTGCGGCAGCATCCGCAGCAGCGGTTGTTGCTGCAGCTTCAGCAGCAGCTGTTGCACCTACAGCGGTTCCTTCTGTTCTTAAAACTACAATGCTTTGCCGTCCCTCTAACTGTTCGCTTCTTCTCTTGGAGATATCTTTGAAAGGGAGCCTCCAGCAGAAAGGGGGCTTGTGCTGCTTGCTGCACGCTTGGGGCTCTTGGACTCAGCAGGAGCAGCTCCAGCAGCTGCAGCAGCTGCAGCAGGAGCTTCAAAAGAAGCAACAGCGCCGTCTTGCCCACCAACCTCCGCCATCGAACCGAGGGGGAAGAGGCCTGGCTGGGGCGCTGGCTTTCTTTTGGAATGTATGAACAGATAGACGCAGCTGATTACGAAAAATACGAAATACACCTGAAGCATCCGGAGCAGCAGCAAGAGCAGCACAGGTCGAAATAAACACAGTTGAGGTAAATACAGCTGAGCACAACAACCGAACTGCACCACAACCACCAGCAACAGCTTCAGACTCCGCAGGAAGCTGCAGGAGCAGCAAATTCAAAAGACTGAAACAACGTAGGCTGCAGCAGCAGCCCCAAAGAAAGCAATCACTGAGGGGATAACAAAAGCAGCAGCAACTTCTGAGCCAACAACGCCTGTTGCATAAGCAGCTTCAAAAACAGCATTCACAGCTGAAGCAGCGGCAGCATCCACTGGACGTACACCCGCACAGATATACGGCGCCATGTACTGCTCTTCCATCACTTTCGTGTCGAGCTCTATTGAGGGAGACTTCTGCTGCATAAGACATCCCAATATTAGAAGAAAGACAACACCAAATGCTGACAGAAATGAACAGCAAGTGGCGCAACAAGGCCAGCTGCACGCCATTTTCCCGGCTGCAGCAGGTGCCACTCAGTTGTTTGGGTATTGTTCTATTGCTCGTTTTCCGGTCGGTTACAGCCGCCGCTTGTATTTCTGTGATGCCGCTGCTGCAGCGCCGCTTGCTTTAAAAAGAGTTTTGCTGCTGCTAGAGCGAAGCCAGACCCGAAACCTCTGTTGCCGCTGCACTGAACATAGCTCCTCCTGGGAGGCTAGCTCAACAAAAACCTCACCGGCGGCAGGGCGTCCTGCTGCTCCTCCAGCGCCGTTGCTGATTTTGCTGTGGTCTTCGCTGCAGAATGGAGGGAGCTGTGTTGAAGCTGCAACAGGACGAAATGGCTATGTTGCCGGTTAGATGATTTCGTCGGGGGGTTTCAGCCGCTACTGGAGCTCGTGGAACTACTTCAGTTGTTTTCCCCCGCTAAGTAAAAGAGGCAATGGAGGCTAAAGAACAATCAAAAACAGCAAAACCTAAGTGACCAAGGATGCATTGTTCACCTCCAGAGTGCTCACTGGCTGGGCCACCGGCAGGAGTGGCAAGTTGGGCAGAATCCCCTCTCTTATAGCTGCCTGATATTACGCTAAATATTCATGGAGTGGTGTTTTTAAACCATCATTCGGGTCGTTCAATAGTTCCTGTACTGCTGTAGCGGTGACACCAAAGCTACCGTTCCCGTACGGGGCTTGTGTTGCAGCTGGTGTTGTAGTGCACAGGAACTACAATGCGACTCTGGTGTGGCATCTAGTAGCTAAGTGATGATAAAGAGAAGGAGTATCACATCAGAAACTAAGAAAGGGGATTAATACTGCTAAATGTTCTAAGAATCGAGTACCGTAGGTAGAACCATAGGTTAGTAGGATTACCCCCGCCGGCAGCCACTATCGGCAGTGTGGCGTACTACCTAGTCACTACGTGGGTACCAGGTAGGCTCCCTTTAGAGATCTAATTGGATAGGAAATAGAATTATTACTACATAGTTGTATTATGTCTACAATTACGACTGTGATGGAGTTCTAGGTCAGGCTCCTTACCGTTCCACCACCGTTGATATTCCCCCGTAATCCTGTAGGTTGGGCACTGATGCCCAGCCATGACCAGGGTGAATTCGGAACACAGTTCGTTTATTCTATGAGCTTGCCTTGTTAATAATAGGGACTCTAAAATGATTTGGTACTTGCAGCATAGACTTTGGGCGATTTTGGTGGTTAGAGGTTGTACTTAGAAAGCCCGGCACTACGAGATGATATAAGTAGGCACAGCCTAGGACGGCTGCGCACTACAGATGTTGTGTTCCCTTGGTCCCAGTTCTTAGCGGTTCACCCCCGTGTAGCACCACTCGCAATCAGCAAAGACCGTCATAATAAGTCACTTCGACTGCAAGTATTGGAGGGCTTCCCTCTCCTGGCTCATCATTTCCAGCCCGGAGGCACCGTTGCCTTCAAAGCGTAGCTAGGATGTAATGGGAGTTTGCAAACTTCCAATTTCTGTCACCCTTGGGATTTGGGCACGGTTTTAGAAAATCGCGCTGGATCTTCGAGCCCACGCGCCTCGCAGAGTTATGCATTTCATCTCGTATGCTGTGTTCGGCGTATAGTTCCGCGTGCACTCTGTCTAGTCACACTGAATCGAAGTGGAGGCCATAAAGGGCTCTACCTAAGGTGCTCGTGAAGTATCATGCTTTGGCGTCCAATTCTCTATATGTTGCCGCGAACCCAACAGCAGGTTGTGACATCGATTCGCAGGTTTCATGCTCAGAGACGTGGTGCTGCTTCCGTGTCTTGCAAACTAGTAAGTAGGGACGCCTTCCTGGGTTACAGCCCAGCTACGCCAGCTGCAGTGTACTTTTGCTGTGAGAGTGTTCGGATTGCTAAGACCAGCACCCACCCTTAGGGCCTTTGTGGCTTGCAGAAGTCAGCAAGGTTAGGCAGAGAGGTCCACGTAAGCAGCAACCTTCCCAACGCACTCTTTGGGTCGTCTGCTGCACAGCGGCCCAACGGGGCGGTGTTTATTCTGATATATTTTATGTGATGTTGGTACTGGTTGCACTGTTTATGACTAGAATGGCTCTGGCAGACCAAGTAAGCGATCAAACAATGCCTGTCTGTCTAGAGTTTGCGGCAAAAGGGGATCAGTTACACTTGCGCCAAAGACTTCGCTGCAGCATCAGGCACAGCACGGTGCTTGGCCGCTCAATGCAGGCCGCCTGGCCCCAGCCCCTTTATCGTGGGGTTGTTGTGAGCAGCGCAGAGCGGGCGAGGGTTGACAGGTAGGATCACGTTTTCCTTGTAAGCAGGTGAGTTTTGTTTGACCCTCTTGCAACTTGCGGCGGTCTACGCCAACATCAAGGATCCCCACTATACTCGGTCGCTAGCTTAGTTCTGCCGCAGAGGGCACTTCCACTGTGCCATTTCGGAGCAGGCACCCCAGCTTTGGTACTGGTCCGACCACTACTTAACGGGAACTGCCGAGCCGGTTACGCTTTGAGATATCTTTTTCCATGGTACTGAGATGCCCAGATCAAACCCATCCCAAATCCTTGTCGGCGTACAGCGCGCTGCGCTGTACGATGTTGCTTCCTGACTCACCGTGCCTGCAGCACAAGAATGAAGGCCAGCAGCAGCATCCGAAAGTCCAAGTAGCAACTAAAGGTGCCACTAGCCTCCATAAGCGTCTAGTGAATTCAGCGTAGTAGATTGCTGGACCCTGCAAGCAATCAGCTAGTTTAACCCTCAGGGCCATCAGAAACCTTTGTTCCAGCCTTGGGAGGAATGAAGCCCATGGTGATGCATCGGTTCCCGTGCTTTTCCTTTGCCACCGCCGGGTGGTTTTCAAACTCTTTGGTTTACGGTGGAGCTGGCCCTTTACATAACAGTTCGGATGCTTGCGCAACGGTTAATTCTTCACGATGCGGGATTGTCTGTAAATCGAAGCAAGGGTTGAGCTGCTCTGGTATTGCGTTCCAGGCGGTACATTGGCTTTCTGCTACATTCTGCGGATGGCCTGGCCTCTGGGATATCCTTGTTACCAAGTCCATCTAAGAACCCCTCCAGCGATTGCACCCACTGCTGTTCATCCTCATGTATCAAGCGAACCGAATAGCATATTAGAGTGCGTTCATAGGATTGGAATGGGGTACTGTATGCAGTTTTCTGTCGCTTTTGGAGAGGCCTCTCCGCTCCCTCAACATCCGCCATTGGGACAATCGTCCTCTTTTTGAGCGCCCAGAGGAAGCTTAAACTAATGAGATATGTAGTACATCAATCCCCTCTTCCACGTAAAGTGCAGTGTTGGTCACTGCAGACTCCGTACTCCCCACTCCCTGAGCCGCCCATGGCATGCCTAAGGCTACGGCGTAATGAAGTGAAGCGTAAAAGCCCCGAGTCACAATGACCCCTTTCTAGGTTGAGCCCCTATTTTAAGCCTACAGTTCTGCCAGTTCGCAGGTCCTGCAGCCACCCGCCGAAACTAAATTGCGCAGACAACATCAACGAGTAGCTTGGTAGGTTCCTTGTGCTCCAATGTTCCTACAGCTCTTCGTTGAGCGACCACACCCACCCTGTGGGCTTTGTCAAGTATCACTAGCAACTTCTGACCATTGATACTGAGTTGGAAAGGCATTAAGTATAGTAAAGTTA